AGAACGAGAGGAACCGTGTGGCAACCCACCCACTGACCTCTCCTCCTCCTCCTCCTCCTCCTCCTCCTCCTCCTCCTCCTCCTCCTCCTCCTCCTCCTCCTCCTCCTCCTCCTCCTCCTTCCTGTAAGCGCTGCTTTTACCAGGTGGTGTGAGGGAATCAACAGGGTGTGGAAAGGGTCGCCTGCCGTGCCACTCAAGCGTGAGTCTTAACTCTCTTCTTCTCCTCCTGTTGCTCTTCAAGATTGTCCTGCTCCTGCTCCAGCTCCTGCTTTCTCCTCCATCCTTCGTCGAGCTCTTCGCTGACGTCATGCCTGGGCCAGCAGCTCCGAAGCAGCTGGTGTACAGCAGAGAGGAGCTCGAGGGGATTCTGGTGAGGCAGAGTGGATGGGAACACACTGGCTTCGCTCACTGTGAGGCAGGATGGAATTCGGCGAGGAGGGCAGGGGAGCGGAGGAGCAGCAGTCCAAGACGGAGGAGGAGGTGGAGGAGGAAGAGGCATGGTCAGCAGTCTGTCCTCACATTAACGAGTATGCGCGAGCTCTGCATGTAATGTAGGCCTATCTTGTAGCTCTCTCTCTTCCTCACAGCAGGACAGCCGAGCCTAACTAGACCTCAGCTCCAGCTATCCCCCAGCAAAGGGCTTCCGCTCTTGGCATGGAGCAGAGAGCTTAACGGCGCTTGCTAACGGCCGTGAAGCCATCGTCGTCAGTCTTTGAGCTCTTGGTCTCATCCTTAGGAGCCGAGCGAGGCTGCAAGTTGAGCCGAGGACGCTCAGCAGGAGCAGCGGCCGGTCGATCCATCTGACGATCGTCTGGAGAGCAAGTCATCGACAGGAAGTAGACGAAGGTGACGAGAGGACAGGGGAGCAGGAAGGGAGGAGAGACGAGGATGGAAGTTGAAGTCGGAGCAAGGAATCGAAGGAAGGTTGACGAGAAACGAGAAGGAGCATGCTAGTCACCTGAGCGCCTCCAGCTGTCGCCTCCTCCGCCTCCTCCGCCTCCTCCGCCTCGAGAGCCCCACCGATCGTCTGCTCTTGGTCGATCTCCTCCAGGTCTATCGCCCATGGGGCGGTCGCCTCCTCTGTCGCTCCTCCAGCGATCGCCTCCTGGTCGGTCACCTCCTGCCCTGTCACCTCCTGCCCTGTCGCCTCCTCCCCAGCGATCTCCAGCAGGACGGTCACCACGGTCACCACGGTCGCCTCCTCCCCAGCGGTCTCCAGCAGGGCGATCGCCACGGTCTCCTGCACGATCGCCTCCTCCCCAACGGTCGGAGCCACGATCCATGGGAGGACGCTCGAGAACACCGCGTCCAGTCTCCCTGGGAGCAGCGGCAGGAGCAGTGTCCTTCTCTCTCCTCGCCTCGATCTCAGCCTCTCTCTGTTTCAAGGCACGAAGTCAACAAGAACGAAAACATCAGATAGCCATCTACCTGTCTCTGCTTCTCAGCCATGGCGTCCAAGCGAGCTCTTTCTTCCTCACGGATTCTTTTCTCTTCCTCCATCCTCCGGCGCTTTTCGGCTTCTTCAGCCTCCTTCCTTGCACGCTCTTCAGCTTCACGTTTCTCCCTCTCCTCCCTCTCCCTCTTCTTCCTCTCACGCTCCTTTCGCGTGCGCTCCCAGTGCTCGGCTTTGTCCCTCTCGTACTGGGCTTCACGGCGCTTGGTGATCATCTCCTCAAAGACGGACTTGTCAGGGATCATGCGGAGCATGCGCTGCTTGATCACGAGATCCTCCTCGTGCTTCTTCTTGTGGTTCTCGAGGAACTGTTTGCTCTCCACCTCCCATCGCAGCTTGTCATGCTCTTTCTGTTCTTCAAACACTTTTGCAAGGAGATCTCGTTCGTTCTCGCGACGAGCTCGCTCAAGATGGTCCATCTTGATGACCTGAGCCTGGATACGCTCCTCAGCCTCGCGCTTAAGCTTCTCTTCTTGCTCTTTTTTGGCTTTAATCAGCGCGTTCTTGTCGATGTTCTTCAACTCGTCATCGTCCAGCTCTTCAACACTCTTTCCGAGAGCATCGATGACGGCAGCATCTTTCTTGCCCTTGCCCTTCTTCTCTTCAGCCTTGAGAGCATCCACCTGCTCCTTGAGCCTCTTCTTCTCGGCGAGTTCTTTCTCCTCTCTCTCTTGCTGCAGCTTGGCCTCTTCGCGACGGCGCTTGTCTTCTTCCTTGCGCTTCTCCTCGTACGTTCGGCGTTCTTCTTCTTCTTGCTTCCTCTTCCGATCCTCCTCCATGGCTTTGAGGTGCATCTCACGCTCCAGCGTCTCTTTGCGCTCTTCGATCTGCATGCGCCGGGAGGACATCATCTTCCTTTCGTCCTCAAGCCTCTCAGCCAACTGCTTGAGGGCCTCCACCTTCTGAGATCGCATCTGCTCCTTCAAATCCTTCTGGATGATGTCCAGTGTGAACTGCAGTCCCTTGGCAAAGTTGGCAAGCTGTGACCGACAGTTCTCGCTCTCCAGACCCTTGTCTCCGAGGTTAAGAGTCCCGTTCTTGTGGTCGAGACGAACAACTGCTTGATTCTTGGCCACAGCTTCCACAATGAATTTCTCACAGTCGTGGAGAGACATGAAGTCAGCAAGCTTGGCGAAGTCAGCTATACGCATGGTGACATACACTTGAGAGAGCTGCTGGATCAGCTTCAAGAGGACAACCTTCTTGAGAGGATGGAGGTACTTCTTCAGTTCCTCTGACTTCTCTACAAAAGCAAACATGGGCTTCATCTGCTCGCCGAGGTGGAGAGGGTCAAAGTCACCCTCCAACACGTTGAAGAGATCCACCAACTCAGGGTAAGCCGAGGTGTTCATGTTCTTCGCGACAACGTCTGAGAGAATGGATCGACGCTGGGGAACGTTGTTGTGACCTACCAACGCTGCCATGCGAATCTGCTTGTCCTTCTCAGGATCGAAATCAACATCTTGCTGCTTGATTGCTGGGGGGGGCACAGACACAGCTCCAAGCAAAACCTTCGATGCCAGGCTCCTGAGCTGAGCTTGGGCTTGTTCCTTGGTCATATCACCCTTGGAGACCTCACGATTGAGTTGCCTTTCGCTGAGGTGGAAGATCCTTTGCATTGCGCAGGCATGGAACAAGTAGTTCTCAGAAACCCAGAAGACCTGAAGAAAAGTTAGTAAGTACAGTGGGAGAAGAGCATTCGAGCACTTGAAGTACCTGAGCGAGTTTGTCGTAGTAGTTCATCATGACCTTGCTCTTCTGTGCCTTACGATTGGATGGATGGGACAACACGTTGTGCAGATCCTCCTACGATCACATTAAGCACAAGCACAGTGGGAAATAGAGCATGGAACTGACCGCCGACTCGAATGCAAGTTGCCAGAGTTCAAGCTGGGTTGCTGCGTTCAACTGAGCAGCTCTGATCTCCAACCTCAAACGAAGGCCAGACTCGGTCTGTGCAGAGAACTGGCTGATTTGTGACATGTTTAAGTGAGTCTTGAGGAGCTCTTTCAACCTGGACACAAGTAAATACTCAACGAATCGACCTTTCCGCTAGAACACCTTCGAAATTCAACTTTGCGCTTGTAGTTGACACAGAAAGCAAAAGTCTTCTTTGCAGTATCCTGGTGAACAGTATCAGGCTAACCATTCAAATGCTGGGAAAAAAATAACATCTTCACACTTACAGCATAAAGCTCTTCCAGCTTCTGATTGTTCTTCAAAACCTCAAGGCAGGTTCTGTAGCTTTCCCACAAGAAACGGAGCCAACGAACATAGTTGTCCCTGTCCGCTCTTCCTGTGTCGCTCAGGTCGCAAGTGAGAACAGACAGCATCATTGTCTCTGGCGTCTCATCAGCTTCCAAATCTTGAAGAGAAGCAACGGCTTCTGCTCCAAGGCCCGCCTTCTCTTCAGCTTCTCGCACAGCGCGTTCGCCATCACCGATGAATGAAGTAACGACCTTGAGGATCGACTCTGGCCCCTGCGAGGCGTTCTGAGCGATTTGACGGTACTGAATGAGCCCTTCCTTGGCTCTCTTCGTCTCTCGTGCCTCTGTGCAGAGCGAGAGGAACTTCTTGAGAATATCCTCCAGAGTCGCTGTCCATGTGCGGTGACGTTTGGGCTTGATCACAGTCTCCAAGACATCGAGGGCAGCAGATTTCTGGCCAACACCAATGAGCTCTGTAGATAAAACGATTAGCGCCCTTGTCAACGCTATGCACTATGGATGGCATCACCTTCAGCACGCTTCAGCGCATTCTCTGGCTTTTGGAAGTAGGTAGTAGACATCTCGGATCAGACTTTCTGACCTAGATGGCTTCCACTGAAACACAAGGCACGTCAGAGATGTTTTCAGATAGAAACACTGTCAGCCAATCAAGCCGTTCATGTAAATGTGCAGTTATATGTTCATATCTTTCTGCTCGTTAGGGATGAACATGAATATTTACATGGGCCTGCCCCTTTCATTCGTTCCTCGGAAACCAAGTATTCTTCAAGCCCTGTCGAAACATGCCTTCCATACAACTACCTCCCTCATATCATCCTACTACAACAGGTACTCATGATTCTGCATTGACAGCATTCGTACACTTCACCTCCCTGCCTACGTCTTTCACATCCTCATCGTACCTCCCTCCATGTCTTCACTCCACGTAACACTCTGATAGAGACCTCTGCTTTCCCCGTCTCAGCCACACGCATGAATCTATCTCCTCCCTACTCTTCCTCTTCATCGCTGCTATTGATTCTTCCGCCATCACCCCCTCCGCTTCTAGTCAGCTGCATCTGATATTTGCCATAGCCGCCGCAGGGGGTGACGAAGCAGCTAGTACTTTTGGAGAACACATTCATGAACTTTCTTTGGGTTTCTCCGTCCAAAGCAGGAACTTTCTCCAGGAAAGAGTATGAGTCAGTAGGAACTTTTCAAGGGCGCTTATATTTTTTTTCCTCCTCCACGCTCGTGTGGGTAGTAGGGGTGTAAAATATTGTTTGTAAAAATTACCATAAAATTAAAATAAATTGTAAAAAAAGGGATCTGTATGATCATTTGACTTATAAATAAGTACCAAAAAGCAAACTCTGATACATTGACAACAACAATCAATACATTTATTAATAAATAAAAATATATTTGATAGCACTTTTCTTCGGTATAATAGATATATTACTAAAAGGTTTTATCTTTCTATTTCGGCGACCCTTGTCCTCACAGTAGTGTTGCAGTGCCGACGGGTGCGGCTGTCCGGCGCCCCGGCCCGGCGGCCCCGCCGCCCACAGTGCCAAACCGGGCCGTGGCCGGGGCGCGCCGGGGGCCGGGCTACAGGAGATCTTGATGACTGGAACGCCGCGTTGGTATGCGAGTGATCAGTGATTCACTCAGTCCCATGACGGCGGTCGCCGCACACTGGACCGCACACTGGGATAATAATCCTCCCAACGTGGCCCACCTTGAAAGCTCGAAAAACGATCATCCGATGATCGGAGGCCCCCGTCACTGCAACGCCACTGTCCCATGAACGACTCCGTGTCAGGCTCCGCCTACTAACGGCCGCCCCAGTCAGTCCTGGCAGTGACGGTGCCGGGGCCCGGCGGGCCGGCACTAAGTTACCGGCGGTGGGTCACCGGCACCGCCGCCGGGCTGGCCGCCGGGGCCGGGCCGGGGCGGCCCGTGTACCGTTCGTAGTTCAATCTGCAACGGAAAAGAAACGGCCATTGAGCCGTCTGCACGTGAAGAGCGCAATGAGAAGTCTAGCAAACGACACGATGACAATGCGGCGACAGAAGGAGCAGGAGCAGGAGCAGGAGCAGGAGCAGGAGCAGGAGCAGGAGCAGGAGCAGGAGCAGGAGCAGGAGACAATCAGAGGAAGAAAGGGAAGAAAAGCAAAGAAGGAAGACGGGAGGATATTACTTGGGGATGTCAAGGCTGAAATCGATTTGGGTGTGCTATGAAGTGTCGTATAATAGAGGCTGAGGTTTACAATAGTATGTTAGAAAGGATGTAGAACAAAAGTGGGTACATACAATGAAAAGAATAAGTTGGTAGAAGATATGTAGAACAGAAGTTGAAATTGTTTGATACACGCAGAACAGCAATGGAAATCGATGCTGTTAGAGAAGTTGTACGAAATCAGAGAATCAATCTATTTTGAGAACAATTGTTTTCAACCAAGTTGTAGGTTTGATTACTGACGAACATAGTAAAGCTTCTCTCATTCTCACTTCCTGAACATTCTTCTTGTACCTGACAGTCAACGCAGCCGGACACTCAACATGGGTCGTCCTCATGCCAAGAGGGCTAAGCCCATCATGCAACAAGGGCCTTCGACAGCCCAGAAGCTGATAGCGAAGAAGCGAGGGACTCGACAGCTGCGTGAGAAGCCTCGCAGTGTCGATGACGTCTCGAGGACGAACAAGAAAGACAATCTCAACCATTCGGGTCAGAGGTCGAGGGCGACGGTGAAGAGGCTCTTGATGTACCGCGAGAAGGCTCCTGAAGTCCGCGTGCGCCCGGAGTCAGCGATGAGACAAGCAAAGGTGGCGCCGAACAGAAGGTGGTTTGGGAACACGAGGGTGATCGGACAGAACGAGCTGGCGCACTTCAGAGAGGAGCTGCAGAACAAAATCAACGACCCATACACGGTCCTGCTCAAGGGCAAGAAACTGCCCATGTCCCTCCTCACCGACTCCGCCAAGGTCAAGTCGGTGAAGATGCTGGATGTGGAGCCATTCGAGGAGACGTTCAGCAAGGGGAGGAAGAGGAAGAGGCCAAAACTTGCGTCCGCAGACCTTAGCGAGATGCTGGCGAAGGCGGACGAGGCGAAGGAGGGGTACGACGAGAACAAGGACTCGAACATAGAGGAGCTGCACGAGTACTCCGAGGCTGCTAGGGAGAATATCTTCATGAAAGGGCAGTCGAAAAGAATCTGGGCGGAGCTTCACAAGGTGATAGACTCCTCCGACGTGATCGTGCAAGTTCTCGACGTCAGGGACCCCATGGGGACCAGGTGCAAGTACGTGGAGACGCTGCTCAAGGGAGCGAACAAGCGGCACAAGCATCTCGTCCTCCTCCTCAACAAGTGCGACCTCGTCCCGACGTGGGTCACCGCCAGGTGGATCAAGCTGCTGTCGGCCGAGTACCCCACCCTTGCATTCCACGCCTCCATCAACAACCCCTTCGGCAAGGGAGCGCTGATCCAGCTGCTGCGGCAGTTTGGCGTCCTCCACAGCGACAAGAAGCAGATCAGCGTCGGGTTCTTCGGGTACCCCAACGTGGGCAAGAGCTCGGTGATCAACACGCTGAGGAAGAAACGCGTCTGCAAGGCTGCGCCGATGCCAGGAGAGACCAAAGTCTGGCAGTACGTGACGCTCTTCCGAGGGATCTACCTGATCGACTGCCCTGGGACTGTCTATGGGACCAAGGATGACGACATGACGACTGTGATGAAGGGAGTTGTTCGAGTTGAGAACATCGACATGCCTTCCCAGGTGGAACTTTCTCCTCTGCTCTGCTCTGCTCTGCTCTGCTCTGCTCTGCTCTGCTCTGCTCTGCTCTGCTCTGCTCTGCTCTGCTCTGCTCTGCTCTGCTCTGTCACTTCCTCCCATTTCTTCCCTTCCTCTGTTGCATGCAATGCCTCTTTTCCTTTCTCCTCCTCCTGCTCCTCTCCCTTGCCTCTTTTGCTGCACCTCCTCCCCTCTACAGTTTCTTCGATTGCGTCTGAACAGCAGGGCAGTATGTCCCAGGTGTGCTTGCGAAGGTGAAGAAGCAGTACGTCGCTCGTCACTACGGTCTCGCGGATTGGAAGGACGCGGAGGATTTCCTCGAGAAGTTGTCGCGCAAGTTTGGGAAGCTCCTGAAAGGAAACGAGCCTGTGAGATGGAGGAGAGAGGAAGGCGAAGGGAAGAGAGAAGATGAGGAGTGACAAGAGGAGATGTTGAGGGAAAGCGGGAAGGAGGAGGAGGAGGAGAGCGGGCAGGAGGGGTAAACGAGGAGAGGGAGGAGGAGGAGGGGGGGGAGGAGGAGGGGGAGGAGGAGAAAGGTGTTTCTGACCAAGTGTCAATGCTTCAGGACGTGGAGACGACTAGCAAGATGGTTCTCAACGATCTGATCCGCGGGAAGTTGCCATGGTTCGAAGAGCCTCCCAGCGCTCCTGAGCAAGGATTCTCCTATCAGAAGAAGGACTTGAGGTTACTGAGGAGGAGGAGGAGGAGGAGGAGGAGGAGGAGGAGGAGGAGGAGGAGGAGGAGGAGATGTGTTGGTCTTATTGGACGACAGGCCTCAAGAAGTCAAGGACAAGGAGGAGCAGCTTAAGGAAGCAAGTCGGCCGTCAGAGCTGCAGGAGGCGAAGATGGCAAAGGAGAAGGCGAAGGGAAAGAAGGAAGAAGTTTTGCAGGAGGAAGAAGAGAAGGCAGCCGAAGTGGAGGAGGAGGAAGAGGCAGAGGAGGACGACGAGGACGAAGAGGAGGAGGAGGAGGAGGCTGGAAGGGTGATGCCAGTCAAGCAGCGTCTGAGCAAGATTCTTTGCTCGCACAGGTGGTTTGAATGATCTTGTTGTGACGGGGAGGGTGAGGGTGAGGAGGAGGAGGAGGAGGAGGAGGAGGAGGAGGATGAAAATGTAGAGGAGGAGGAAGAGGAGGAAGAGGAGGAAGAGGAAGAGGAGGAAGATGAGGAGATGCTGAAATCTCATCAGGTACGACCATGACGACATGACCCGAGGAGATGCCGACTTGCCGGAGGACTCAGATTCAGCGGTGGACTCAGACGATCTCTCTGAGCGTGAGGAGGAGGAGGACGGGGAGGAGGAGGATGGAGCAGGAGGGTCGGTGAAGGGGGAGGAGGACGAGGACGAGGACGAGGACGGATCTGGGTCCGAGATCTCCCTGAACGACTGCGAGGATAGCGAGCAAGACTCAGAAGTTGATGAGGACGCGGCAGCGGAGGCAGCATGGGCGGAGATGGAGCTGCATGCGGAGAACGAGGAGGAGGGAGCAGCTCCGCTGCCTCTCAAGGCTCAGGGGGTGGACAAGAAGAAGATCAACAGAACCCTCCTGCGAAGGAGGAGGAAGGCAGCGCAGGTAGAGCTCGCATGCCTAAGGAGGGGGAGGGTGAGGAGGAGGAGGAGGGACAGGAGGACGAGAAAGAAGAGAGCAGAGTGAAGGCTGGGGAGGGTAGGAAGTTGTTGTTTGATGAATGTGGGAACAATTTCGGAGGCAGGAGGAGGAGCAGTGGCAGGAGGAGGGGCGGGACGAGGACGAGGACGAGGACGAGGACGAGGACGAGGACGAGGACGAGGACGAGGACGAGGACGAGGACGAGGACGAGGACGAGGGGGGGGGACGAGGACGAGGACGAGGGGGGGGACGAGGGGGACGACGAGGACGAGGACGAGGGGGGGGACGAGGACGAGGGGGAACTGACGAGTGTGACAGAAGGCGGAGGGGAAGGACAAGTCGTGGGCCGGAAAGATCAGCTCGAAGCCCAAGAGACACGCGCATCTCTCACAGATGCTCGACAAGAACATCGACCCCGAAGATTGTCCCGCCTATGGCAAGAGACCAAAACCTGGAAGGTGATGCCTCCTCCTCCTCCTCCTCCTCCTCCTCCTCCTCCGCTACATCCTCTTCACCCTCCATGTCGTCGTCGTCGTCCTGTTGTCGCTTCTTCCTTCTGCTCCTGATTCTTCTGCTCTTCCTGCTGCTGCTCCTCCTCCTCCTCGTCCTCCTCCTCCTCCTCCTCCTCCTCCTCCTCCTCCTCCTCCTCTTTCTCCTTCAGCCACTGCTCCTGCATTAGTAGCTCCTCCTACTCCCCCTCCCCCTCCCTGTCCTCCTTCTCCCTGTTCTCCTCCTCTCCTTCTCTCTCTCCTTGTCCTCCTCCTCCTCCTGCTGTCCCGGCTCGTCCTATCTCCCTCCTCACTCGAGTTTCTGCAGGCACGTGAACAAGAAGCGCAAGGTCGGAAAGCACTTTTATGACGAGGTTGACGTCAAGGGGAAGAGGAAGAAGAAGGGAAGAGACTAAGAGGTGGGGAGGGAGCAGGAGCAGGAGAGGGAGAGATACAGTGAGAGCAAGATGGAGGAAGAGATGAAGAGCAACAGAGAAAGAGGCAACACATGTAACATTTCTTCAAACTTTAACAAAAAAACTTCTTGCAGAGAAAAGAAGGAAAGAGGGGTTTGCCAATAAACAAGGAAAGAACATCGAATCGCATTCCCCACACCCTCATCTCTTGTTGAACTGTGCGGAGAACAATCTTTTTACCTGCAATCCCATCAAATCCCGTCGTCCTCTTCATTCTACCCACACGCCCCCCTCCCCCTCTGCTCCTGCTCCTGCCCTTGCTCCTCCATTCCCCTTGTTTTCTCCTCCCTCGCTCCCTCGCTCCCTCCTCCCTCTACTCTCACCTCGATCGCCGTCAACGCCTGAGCCGTGCCCATGTTGCTCACTCCCGCTCGTGGCGTCACAGCCCTGCCTCCTCCTTACCCTCTTCATCAGCGCTACTGGCAGACGCACCTGACGGACTTGGCAGGGGAGGAGGCGGCGGCGCACATGGCGGTGCGAAGTCGATCAGACCAGCTGCTGCCATCGCGCTGGGAGGGAGTGAGACCCTGGTCGACAGCCTTGAGCTCTGTCGCTCGTTCCTCCAGGCAGGTCACTTCCATCGAGTTGTAGAGCTGCCAGGAAGGTGAGGAGAAGAGCTGGAGGAGAGTGATGGAGGCGGAGCAGAAGAGGAAGTTGAGATGGAGAGAGAAGAGCAGGGTAGGAAGGAATGAAGTTCAGAAGTTCAAGGAGGGAGAGGAGGAAGAGGAAGAAGAGAGGAAGAGAGGAGCAAAGAGAGGAGGAGGAGGAGGAGGAGGAGGAGGAGGAGGAGGAGGAGGAGGAGGAACGGAAAGTTTTCACCTGTGCGCACAGACCGAAGGCATGGGAGAAGAAAGATTGGACGGTATAGATGGGAGAAAAGTGCTTCGACGAATACCTGTAGACTAGGTGACCGAGCATATGTAGACGTTTCAAGAACCTGATGGTCAGAGCATAACAGTCCGGAACTTTCCCTCCCATCCACGCCTGCTGCTCCAACCCGTTCTGATCGGGACCCGAACCCTCCTGTCGGGAAGCCCTGTCAGGTCTAAGAGGAGACCCAGAGAAGCAGCAGGAGGGAGGAGTAGGAAGATGAGAAGATGGCAGCACGTTCAGCAAAGCGAAGGAGCAAGGAGGAGGAGGAGGTGGTGGAGGAGAAGTTTCAGCAGCAGCAGCAGGATCGACCTCAACAGGCCCAACAGGAGCCAGGAAGGGGAGGATGCCCTGCCCATTGCTCGAGACGCCCTCAGGGAACAAGACGACAGGCCCGCTGAGGCTGCTCTTGCTGTTCGCCACCACATGGGAGATACTCTCCAACCCCCTCCTGTCGGCGATGGAAGGGAAGCCGACGATGAGGCGGATGGCGCCGAGGGGTCCTGTCCTCAGCACCTTCCCCACTGACTTGCCCTTGTCCTGGACAGGGAACACGAAGACGGGGGAGAAGCGGAAGCAGAGGTAGAGGACGTCTACGTAGGAGCAGAGAGTGGAGAGGAGGATCGACCCTGAGCTGGCGCTCTTCAACGGAGGCCATCCAGTCTGCTTCGCCCCTGCTCGTGAGACAGTCACTGTCTTCTTCTTGGGATACCCAGCGGGGATCCACCAAAACCTGGGAGGGCAAGTAGTGAGGATCGAGGAGGAGGAGGATATCGGAAATAAGTCACCCGAGGAGGAGGAGGAGGAGGCGACAGCAGACGACATCGACGATCCTGATCATCGGCCGCCGCAGGAATGCAATAGGGAGCAGCTCGAAGATGCTCCTGACCAGGATGAAGAGGAGGAATAGGATCGCACAGACTGGGAACTTAACGAGGCCCAGACACAATCCGATGAGACCCCTGAAGACTTTGAGTAGGATGTTCTTGGGGCGTACAACCTGTGATGCAGGTTTCAGGTAGGGAAGGTCATGTCATCCTGATAACCACCACATGCGATTCAATCTTTGACCCTGACAAGAATCTCTCGTGCTTTCCTATCCCACATCCTCCTCGTCCTCGTCCTCGTCCTCGTCCTCGTCCTCGTCCTCCCTCCTCTTCCCTCACCTTCTCCGGCATGAACGGCATGATGCCGCTCGCCGGATCCTCGAAGCTCCTGAACTTCTCCATGCTGTCGGCCGCCTTGCCACCACTATGCTGTAACGGAAAAGTAACCACTTTTGTAACCGATGAACGGAAATTGATAACGATTCTGTAACGCATTGTAACCTTCAGCGAGCGAGCGCAATGCAGGCTTGGCCAGGGCATTGGGAGAACAGATGAAGAAGGCGAGAGAGATGAGAGACGAGGGTGAGTGAAGGGAGTTGGAAGAGTGAATGAGAGAAGGAAGTTGAGAGGAGCTTGATACGAAGACAAAGAGAAGAGACATCTCGTCAACCCTGTTATCGCTATGTCAACGAGGATCTACCTCGGTGTAATCTGGTTCTTCGTGGCTATGGAAATCAAGCAAAGTTGCTCAACAACGGCGGATGTTTGGATCTCTAAGAATAATGGAATAGCAGCGAGGGCAACCTTTCAGGCTCGCAAGTCTCATCGTTGGCTGCGATTGCGTGGCGGGATGCCGAATGTAGGCATGGAAAATTGGACCAGGTTCAGTAAATACACATCAGCATATTCTTTGAAAATTGTTTTTCTCCTCTTCGTTCTCTTTCTTCAGCATCGCAAAGCTGACGGATCTGATCGCAGTGACTGGGATCGCGAATGTTGGAATGAATCGAACCCGAACATAACGAGCCCATTGTTTGTCCCCAAGGTGGGTCTTAGAGAGAGATTCTCTTGCCAAGGACCAGCATGTAACGAGGCCCATCTTGCAGGGGAACTGGACGGAAGAAGACTTTGAGAAGGCCAGGAAGTAAATTTGACTGCATGTTTTTGAGCACTGTCTGAGGTCGGTCCCCTCAGCGACCCTCGTCATCAGAACGAGTTGTGTCAGTACATGATCAAAAGAGAATACGAAAGATTGAACGGCAAGTTCTTGCTGGCAGTGCATCATGCTCGTTGCTAACAGTATTATCGCAGGTATTCCTCACAGTTATGACCCGAACAAGGAAGATCCGTGGTTCGGTGGGTGCTCGTGCTGTTTCGCAGCCACGACGAAATCAGTTTGTGATTGTGAGGTTTGAAGGGGTACGAGGCGAAGGGGGACCAGAAGTGTTTGGGGATGATCCTTTTTCGGGAGTGAGTTAGGTAACAAGCTCCCGGACTGATGCTGACCCTTTGCAGCTTCCTGGTAGATCCAACCAGTCCCTCAGGGAGGATCCCAAGTATCGCAAATATCTGCAGGGCCTGGCATGGCATGTGAGTGTTTGCCTCGGAACCAACTCCGTCTGCTCTTAGGGATCCGGATGTCGTGCCGTGGAATGTGACCTAACGATGCAGGCCAACAACACAGTGGATGAGTTTCGAGCGATAGAGCTGATGACGGCCCTTGCAACGCTGCAAGAGTTACAAGTGTGTTCAATCCGTGTATGATGTCAACCCTCATTCAATCTCTCATAGATTTACGATTTTGAGAAACCCGTCAAAGAGCTTTTCCCTCTAAGGTACCGTGCCATCAATGTTTCACTCTTCATCATTCTGACATGTGTAAAGGGACGACGAGTATAAAGGACCTCAGTTCCGCAGCCAGGAACAACGGGAAGCAGGTTTGTGGCAGCATGTCGTCCCTTCCTACCATCTGACGTGGCTCGGACGCAGCTGCTGCTCTCCTTTACAAGGCCATCACAACCTTCCTCGGACCTGAGTACCCTCCCTTGGAGATCGACTTCATGGAGCAATGCATAGAAGATACTTTTGACGATTCGCAGTAACTGCTTCAGCCTCCTGTGCTGCTCCTCATCCTCCTACGGGTGAACCAAGAAGCCGTGCAATGAGCCTGAAACGGTCATGCCTGATTGGTCCAAGCACTGAACGTTTGAACTTTATGCTTGTACTTGTCAATCCCTGAGATACATCAAGAGGGAAACTTAAATCTGACAGTATTGAAATGGAATGATCGATCTTCTCCAAATCAAGCATCTGCTAGTCCCACTTTCTCCAATTTCCCAGTTCTGATTGTGAGCACCGGAGAGCACATGGCTGGCACAGCTCAGCAGATCTTGACCAACCAACAATCATGACAAGATATACTCTTGCACTGTGTGTGGATTCTAGTTCATCCAGAGCTCACAAAGCTGCCATGGAAGTCTCCCGATGTATCCAAGGAGGGATAGCTGAGGAACAGAATCAATTTATGCCGCCTGACGCAAACAGCTCCTGAGATAATCGACGCAGCTTTCCCTCCTGCCAGCAAAACTTTAGAACAGGGCACTGCATCGGCACACGCAAAACAACTTGTTTCTCATAGCCAACCTCAGCGGTGTGTAACCATACATGTTTGGTGATCTGTTTGCTAAGAATGAGACTTGATAATGAGAATGGTAGAGATATCGAGGACCTGTAATCCGCGTTGTTTTCTACGAGTATCTTCAAACATTCCAAATTTCCCAGTGCAGCGGCATAATGAGCAGGGGAGCTGAGAGACTTGTCCTGGGAAGATACACTGCCCTTATTCATGACGAGCTCAGTCAACTTCTTGACATCCCCTCGTTCTGCAGCGACATGCAACTCTGATTTCTGAAAGATGGTATCCCATCTCTCATTGGATGACGACATCGCTTGTCGGGAGGCGACCTGATCAACTACAAACCGTCGATCCGATGCTCAATTCTATCCCGACGATGCTTGTTCCTCCTGTCCTCCTCGTCTCCTTCTCCTTCCTCCACTTGCCCGACTTCCTTCAACACAGCTCGTCCCTCTGCTCCTCTTCCTCTGCCTCTGCCTCTGCCTCTGCCTCTGCCTCTGCCTCTTCCTCTCTCTCTCTCCCCTTCCTCTCACTCGAAAAATTTCTTCACCTGCCACTCATCCACATGCATCTAGGAAAAGGGGGTAGTTTGAGTTATTCAGGGGGGTAGTTTTGGTATCTGAGGGGGTGGGGGTAGCCCATTGTTCTGGAAAATGGCCAGCACGAGAGCTGGGGAGATGATGTGGAGAGAGAGGGGGGGGGGGGGGAGGAAGACGAACAGGAGGAGGACGAGGCGGATTCAGCTCACAGCAAGATTCTTGTGTTTGTGTTTGTATGAATCAAATTGGAAGCAGAATCAGGAGCAGGAGCAGGAGCAGGAGCAGGAGCAGGAGCAGGAGCAGGAGCAGGAGCAGGAGAATGGCTAGCAAGAAATCACAGATGAGGTCCTTGATTGATTGACATAGGAAGGATTATGATTTTTAATGCCGTGATGCGTTTCATGTTCATGAGCTCACTTCACGATGAACAGCACAAGAACCATGGCTGATAGCAGCGAATACTCGGCAGTTGCTACTGATGAAAACGTCAAGGAGCTTGTCTTGCAAGAGGGAGAAGATATTGATTACAGGATTGTATTTGGTTTCTACTTGCTCGCAGATATCAGTAAGACCATCTGTGCATTGCTAAGTTCCGCAGCGACTAAATGTTTGCTTCAGTCTTCGTCTTGTTGTTTTTGTTCGCACGAAAAGATGGATACTGGGTGGTTGTAGCGCCCTTCCTTCCTCTTACATTCTGGATGGGTATGAAGGTACAGCAACCCGAATCTCTTTAACTTAGTGATGATGGTATTTTCACAGGTGAAGAACCAATTGGAAAATCAAAAGAAAAAAGTAAAACAGAATGACTATGCCTATAGCCATCTTCAAATCTTTATGAAGACAGCTTGATTGGTTTTGATGTATTGTAATTTAAAGCAGTTCCTTGCATCTGCGAACTGAAACGATTTACTTTGTTAAGATTGAAGAGAGAAGAGCAGCAAGAATGAATTTCAATGTCTCACCAAACATCAGGTCGTCTTGGGCTGAATATGCTCGATTGAGGATGAGGATCTTCTCATCTTGTCTCACTGCTTTCCATCTAAGATTATTCGCCTGCTATCAGCATCAGCTCCCTCACGCCCCCGTACAGTAAAACTCACTGTTGGGCCCTCGACCAATCCAGAATTTTCAAGAGCATCTATCCTACGAAGCAGCGAAGCGCAAACGTCGACGGTCCATGGTCTGGAAGAAGACAGGATCATGTCCACGAAACTGCAGCAGCTCGTTCACATGTCTCGAGGTTGTGTGTAGCTTCGTGTCACGTTGACTTGCCCCGGCTCTTGCATCAACGGGACATGTGCCGGGGTCGCAGATGTCTTGCTCTCCTTGTGGCTGATCTCTGACAAGTTGATCTCATCTCCTCCCAGTCGACAACCGAAGACTATCACAACATACCTCCCGGTAAGTTGAAAGATGCCGGCGCTGCACCGAAAACTTGTTCGAGTTCTGCATTGAACTCGTCGACGGCATCGTAGCCATGCACGCTCTTCGTCCTGCCATCGTCTGCTGACGACTCCATCCATCTCACAGCCATGTCCGGCAACTCTCCTCGCGCTAAAACTCTTCCTCTCACTGTTCTTCCTCCTCTCATCCAGCCCATCATTCGCCATGCCTTGAGCATTTCTTGTTATGAGGTAGAATACCACAGGGGGTGGGGTACTAAAAGGGATTCGAGGGGGTGGGAGCGCAATTGAAATTGAAATAAACCAGACCCGCCTCTGTGATATATTTAGGAAATATTGAAAGGCAGAAAAATTTGTTAACAAATATCTAGGGCAGCGAAACCTCGATCAAAGATGGCTGAAATGCCGCACACCTGAAGCTGCGGGCCTGGGCCATGCAGTCGGGAGGAGGCGAACTGGTGAGAGTGGGATGTGATGACAGAGGAGGAGAAAGGAGGGAGGAAGGATGAGAGAGGAGGAAGGATGAGAGAGGACGGAGGACGGAGGACGGAGGAGGGGGAGGGGGGGGAGGAGGAGCGAGCAGCGAGCAGCGAGGAGAGAGCGAGGCGAGGAGAGGAGGAAGAGGAGAGAGGAGAGAGGAGAGAGGAGGA